ATGTATATATATATATATAACACAGTCAAAAGAGGACACGCCCATTCATCAATAACTATAAATAAGTTTTTTGCTAACTTGTTTAAATTCATCCAATTATTATAAAATGTTTCTCAGAAAAATCAGTTCAACAGGAGAAGGTGTACCCAAACTTTTTTATTTCTTCTGCGTCTTCGTATGTATTAACAATGCCAAAAGTTGAATGAGATTCAAAGGACAAATAGTAAGTAGTAATGTCTAAGTGCACAAGCGACATCCGAACTCGGTCCGCGTTTTCTAGATCTGTGTATTCTCGGATTCGGAACGGGGGGTCTACTCTCGATCTCCGTCCGACATCCGTCCGAAACAATTACTGCCAAATAAACAATACTTGACCAAATGAAAAGACGCGTGATGCGAATGAAGCTTCATACTTGATACTTGTCTTTTAATTTTGTCGAATATTACTTATTTGACAGTAATTGTTTCGGACGGATGTCGGACGGAGGTCGAGAGTTGATCCCTGGATACGAATCCAACGCAGTGCGCGGAAGCTTTTAGGCGGCATATATACGGGCGCATAAAGGACTATCAAACCATAAAAAAAGAAATATAAAATCCGACTAAACGAGGTGTGCTTTAATGACAGATTAATAGCTAAACGACTTTCTTCCATGAACATAAAGATAAATAAAAAAATAAATAAAAAAATAATATAATTAAAAAGGAAGTTCACGATTCAGTATTAATGTTAATAATAATTAGCCTAACATCACACTAATTGTCAGATTTCAAATTAGGGAAAGTACACTTGTACTTTCCCTCATACCTGCTCATACCTACTCATACTTATGAGTAGGTACCTTTTACAAGGAGCATACTATTCTGCATTCCGGTATTGAACATTAAGGGTGCTGGTGAAATTACAGGCATATGGGACTTGTTATCTTACGTCTCAGGGTGACGGGCGCAGTGGCATTGCCCTTCGGATTTTTGCGATTTAGAGCGGCTCTGCAACTGTTATGGACAGGCATGCAGCTTACCATCAGGCGCACGACTTGTTCGTCTCATCACTTTATATTATAAAAAAAGGCTCTAACGCTACTGTGTCTATTATCTTTTAAGTGAGCGTTGTATATCTCGTGGGATTGTTCATCTTATATAAAAAAAACGTAAATTCCTATAAATTTGTACTTTTTAAGTTTATTGAATGACACGATGTTTCATCACCATGACATTCAATTAATTTTGTGAAATTAATCATAATCATCGAACACTAAGAAAAAATTCGTCTGGATTCGAACCAACGTCTTCCAGCAAACCGCGCCAGACGCTATGCCAACTAAGCCACGGAACGAACTAGCGGACGTTACGAATTTTTCTTCGTGCTTGTTGCAGATCTTCCTTTTTGGTTTTTAACTTTTTGTTGCCTTAGCGCCATCTGTGACAAATCTATTTCTATTTGTTTATGTTTGTTAACGTAACAGGACAATTCGCTTCGCTGGAACTTCAACTACAGTGATTCAATTTTTCACTGTCACCAAGTGAGTTGGCGTGTCCTCGTCGGGGCTGAACGCAGTTCACTCTTGATTGTACACCGATTTATCAGGGTCGAAGACTGCTGTCGCCAGCAGATCTCCTATTTCATTCTGTTTTAATATTTTATTTAGACTTGATCGCAATGCACCATAGACGTTCTATTATTGATTTTCACTATTATCAAATTTTTACCAACTACTTATAAACAGGAAACGTGTTCAATATTTTTATTTTTCTAATACCATGTGACAGGATGAACAAGTCGTGGACCTGCTGGTAAGCGACACCTGCTCACAACAGTTGCAGTGCCACTTAGAGCTTTAAACCGCATAGATCTTAGGTGAACTGTCAATGCGTTCGTCACCCTGAGACATAACGTCGCCTTACTTTCTAAATTTTATTGGTAAGGTGGTAAGTACTTCCTTGGATGTACACTTTCACAAGGAGCTCTGCTGCTATTAAATTTGAATGACAATACGGTAATAAATGTGCGGTAGCCAGGTCACACACGTAGCTACATAAACTGGTTTTTAATCCCCATCACAGCCTTATATATGTCTGTGATCCCCACAAAAAAAGGGGAACTTAACTTGGGGCATACTGTTTTGTAACACACGTTTTTTTTTATTTAAGCTTCTTTTTATATAACCTCCTTGTGGGCGGATCGCACACAAAGGCATTACGGCGCTCTACGTGTACCGTTCAATATCTCGTTCAGGGTGCTGATGGGGCTGTCCAGGTACTGTAGGGCTGGAGGGATGTTCGCAGAAACGCGGGTAGATTGTATTCACGCAAAAATAAGCAAGGGGCGCACTTCCTTGGTGCGCAGGGTGCGAGCCAGCGCCCATAGCATCTTGACCATTAGCTGGCAGGTCTGTTCTTACGTAAACCACTGTAGTATGGTACATTTAAACAAAAGATGCCACTATTACGTACCATGAATTTATTTAATTCTAATTTAATTTTTAATATTAATTACTTGAATTGAATTTATTTCTACATTGTTTCAAATTTAATTTATGTTACTTCAAATATAATTAATACCTGTCGTAGTAATATGATGAAATTCGATGTATTATTATTATTAAGGACTATGTTGTCTGATATGAATAAATTACTTTTAATTTGAACTTAAGCGTTGTTTCATAAATAGCATGCATGAAATTAATACGTGTCTTAGAAAGATGCTACTAATTATAGAGGTATATAATTTTATACCTTAAAGATGATTGTCATATAAATTAATCTACATTTTCTCGATTAAACAGTGTCTGCATGTTTCTAGTGGGTAAATTCCAAAATCGTTCGTTATGATGCACGCCTATGAGATAGTTCGGAATTTTAGTGGAAGTTTTGCGTCCAATTATAAGTTCAGATTGCGAGTATTGACAAAATGTATTCGCAGATTTACATAATAATATGTTACAGCAGTATCTGTATTAGGCTTGAGTAGTTCATAAACTATGAACTGTTGGGAATGAATTCCCAACACTGACCGTAACGAACTGGTTTATCTTGCGCCATCTTAATAGTTCACAGTTCTTTCTAATTCAGCAATATGAGGTTTTCACATTAGATTTTAGTGCCTGTTTTACAGTGTATTATAATATCTTATCACTATAAATCCGAACAAAACAAATCCACGTCCTTTCTCGTCAAATATGTTTTTCGCAATGGCGTCCGCCCGTCAGCGTTCCGTTGACAGCCTTTTTTTATTTCTTATAAAATCTGTAAATATAAAATATGATAAAACTAATTCTTAATGAAGCAAAGTAAGTTTTATAACAAAATATAATAAATGAATGTCACGATACTCTAACAGTAGGAAATAAGAACTGTTTGCGTTACGGAGCCTGAGATTCAAGGCTGTCTTAATAGTTTACATATGTATGTTTCTTAGTTCAGTAAGAATAGAGCGAACGGGACAATTAACGGTCTTTCACTGCTTTTAGTACACGTTCGAGTGAGATACACGACTAAACGTTGCCAGTCCGTTTAAGTCTTTAAAATGTAACACTCAACGGCTGTTTTTGTCAGGTTAATCTAATAGTACCTACCGATTCTATAAAAAAATATTTTAAATATTTAGCAAAGTGTACTGTAGTGTGATTTAAATCCGAAAAATAGTTTCATTTTCCAGTCACGAAAACCTAAGAACTCGAAAGTGTCGTAGAAGTTCAAAGTAGTTAATTTGAATAAAAGTACTAATTTGGAGCGTTCGTTCAATGTTCGAGCAAGAGCAAGACGACAGACTAAAAGAACTAGAAGACAGAACGAAATAGTTCAGTTGACCGATTGACCTAGATCAGATGGCTCACTTTAAAGACCGAGCAGGCACAAGTTTAATGTATAGGTACTTATGCTTTGCTGCCGAGCAAAATACACAACTTTTAACCTCACTACAGCGAGGAAATTGGTAAATAAAAGAAAAACAGTTGAAATATAACAAATCAGTTTTAATAAACAAATTTAGTTATCGTTGTGATTTTAATGTCAACAATAATAAGAATAAAATATACCAATGGATTTATATTAGTTACATAAATAATGTACGACAAATCGCGTAGTTGAAAGTGTCAAAAAGGTTTTTTTTATCGAAAGAAAAAGTTACGTGCACAGTCCAAGGTCAAGTTCGAATTTCAAAAACATTTTACGTGCAGATTTCTAATGAGAAAGAAAGCTTTTCCGAGCGAGTAAGGTGAAAAAAAAATGGTGCACCGTAATAAGGCCATGCTCTAAGGGCATACCATATACAATATTTATTTTAATTCTCGCAATTACGGGCACTGATGCTAGTTAGCAGTTGGCTATATGACAGTTTTTTAGTCTGTTTACATTGCTCTTTGTTAGTAGATATATTTAAAAGTTTAGAGCAACGGACAGTAATGAATTTTCGCCCTTTTTTGCCGACGTAGGCAAAGAGTTGCACGCTCCATAAATATTACACTTTCTGTTTTTTTTAAAGTAATGCAAACATTTTCGTCATTATTTTAATTCAGGTACAGTGTATGAAAACAAAAGACTTTTATTGTGCGAAAAGCATATTTAGCTGTTCCTTTACAATTTCTTAAACATCTCGGAAATATGCAGAACAACCGATTTAATTTTCGGGGACATCTGGAAAACGATTTTGACAACAAATATCCTGAGACTAAAATAGCTACATAGATCCAATGACATAATTTTGTATACTGAAAAATGATACCCTGTTCGATGTGATAGATTTTATATTCGTTTTTATGGTTCACGTTCGTGGTGTTACTTTATATAAATTTGTTTTTGAACTCTGGGTTATGGTGTACGTCTTCATAACGTATTTCGCAACAATAAAAGGGTAAAAGAAGTGAGTAAGTAGGCTATGGCGTAGAAAGATATGGACTTAAAAACACAACGCTATAAGTGTTTCTTGTATGAATGATGATACTTACACGTGGTCGTAGTTAGTACTTTCATACATAGTAATACTTTCTCTTTGGTTTCAGGTGATCTGTGGTGGACAGCGAGCTGCCGCGGCGCAATCACACATGCTGACGATATGGTAGGTAAATCTAAAAGAATGTACTAGAATGTAACTGCGAAATTTGAGAAAAAAATATTTTTAGTCAACGCTTTTCGCAGATTTTCGTGACTAGCGCCATCTAGTTAAGAAACTCTGCACTAAAACGTTAGATTGGCAACTGTTGCACCTCGTAACTGAAACAAATTACCAAGAAGTTCTAGCGCCACCCGCTAGGTGGCGTGTAATTTAATGGAATATTGAGGTACATACTTTACAGAGGCACTTTCTGGGTTTTGTAAGGAGACGATAATATACTTTTATTAATTGCAGGATACAGTATGGCCGCGGCACATTGGCTCAACTCGCTCGGATGCCTGTCGCTGTCGCTACTATGTCTTTTTGCCACTACTCTTCAACACACAAGCGGTAAGTCGACTGTTTAGTATTTTAACAATTAAAACAATTGGAATCTTTTTTTCTGAATTGGCTAAACTTGCCTTAAAATTTTTGAACTAGTGCGCATGAAAAATTATCAAATAATCAATTTATATATTTGTCAGAATAGGGTAAATTGCTTATACTATTTTTTTCCATGCTCTAAGGTAAATCACGATCTTATTTTAAATAAATCTAGGTTATTCTACCATAGTTGGTATGCAAACATATATGTCATTCAAGTATTTATTACAATTAACGAAATTGTCAAATATTAAAAATGAAGTAAAATTACAAAAGTTAGTCAGTATTTTTACACCATTGGTAATTATATCATAACTTGTTTTCTGTTAAAATATGAGACAATTGGAGTTTCATCCTTTATCCTTCTTCGTTAAATTATATGATATACTTTACGAACGGCGTTAATAAGTGGAACAGCGTGCTACCAAGGCGTGACGTACATATATAATCGAGCTCTTAGCTGGCACTAAGTGGATGCATTTCTCACCTATAATGGCAGCTTTTAACACGGTGTGAACGTACTGGATACAACTCATCGCTACAGCTTACAGATTATTATTAATTTTGAGAAATTTTAATAACCGTCAAAGAGTTTCTTATTTTGGATAAATGCAAAAATGTTCGAATGAATCGTATTTATTTGACAAATATTAGACGAGATTGTTTATTATAGATAACATTTATTTATTTGCCATACCAACAGACTAACATAATTATTATGAAAACTAGGAATTTAGAAACATTGTATTGCATTGTTGCAAATGAAACGGATGTCAGCCGTGAACACGGGACCCATAAAGGGGCCCGAAACGTTGGTTTGTTTAAAAAAGCAAATTTAGCAATTCGCGATAGCCTAAGAACTCAGTATATTGCATTGTTCTTAGACGTAAGTTCGTCACAGAATTATAATTACCTATCATACAAGTTTAAATATGAGGATGGTTGGTGGTAGAATATATGATAAAATGATCCTCATACTTTGACGACATTGGCATGCAAATTTATGGATATCTACATTTTGGCTGGTAAACAATTCTAAAACAAATTCCTATTAATTATTAAGATATTTTGTAATACAGTGCTTCCATTTTCTCAATGTCTCTCGGCAATATATTACATAAATATATGTATTTGAATAATAATTTCCATGCCCATTAATTATTAGATTTAACATCTATAATAATTTGAATTTTGAACAGCGTACTTTATTGGTGTTTTGTTTTAATTTCTCTGTGAACTATATAGAGCTGTAAAACTATTTCCCTATTTTTATTAACATTTACTCCATGTTAATAAGAAAGTTAACAAAAATATAGAGCAAAGGAAAGAAAAAGGAACTGATTTATCTTTTTTATCATATTATTTTAAAATATTCTTTACTGTTCCGATTGAAACATCACTAGCTACAGAAATACTTTTGAAAACAACCATTGTTGTCTTTCTTAATCGTATCGGCTTCTTGTAAAAATACTTGTACCTTACACGCTGTAATTTACCTGGCATGCCTGTGACTTTAGCGGCGTTCCTCCCCATTGGATAATAAATAAAAATTTAATAGCAACTCTATATTTCCAAGTCGACTGAAAGCGTCCGGTCTATACTAAAGGCAAAGGGCAACTGAATAAAACCCGATGACAGCCGAAACCCGAATTTTGCCGAGAGGCATTGCGAAAATAGAAGCACTATAAGTTATTGTCATGTCATGAAGATGTCAGTGTTTTCTTATCGCATGTATACACTTTAACATATTTATCTATATTGGACATCGACTATATAACCAGAAATAGAGATGAAATAAGGGCCATGTGTTCCTGGTAACACATTAGCGATACAGCTCTTATAAATATCAACTCACGTTTCCATTGAAATATAGACAGGCCAACTACTGACCTGTGTGTACGTCTCCGTATATTCCAAAAAATATTCTTGTTTTATTGTAATAAAGATAATATCTCTAATAATGGCGTGCTGTTCCATTCGGTGGTGTGGGAAAAATAAATATTATATGTATAATTTTGCAATTTTCGTCCATTATAGCAAAGTTCAAGTTAACTGGTCGATTAGAGGTGAAACAGTTGACGACACTCATTGACGACACCCGTCAATTGTTTCGAATTCGGGCTGACCAATCTTCCATCCTCTAAGGACCAATCGGAGCGCAGTTGTCACAGTAATGACATGGCAGAATAGTTTTCAAACAAATTAAATGACATTTCGTCTCTATTTCTGGTTATATACTCGATGATATTGGAAATGGGGTTAGTGAACTTCTAAGGAAGAAAAGTCAGGTGTAGAAATAGTTTAAAATTACATGGAATTAATGGGAAATATATATGACGTGTTAAGGTTACAATGGAAGAAATGATTAACATATTTTTTTGTCCAGCAAGTTACATTTTTCCCATACTGAATCGGTTCTATTGTGCGGGTCGAGCCGCCGGGATACTGGTTTTATTTCATAATTTATTTTTTTACAAACGAAATTTAAGTCATTTGAAAAATATATATCGTATACAATACGTGTTCTATTAAGTTCAGTTGGTATAAGAAAAGTCATATATAGTACCTATTGAATACAGCGGTTTTTTGTCAAATTTCGAGGTAAGTTTGTGTTTTTTTTCTATCGTGTAACTTTTTAGACAGCGTGCTGTCACATCGTATACTAATTAGTGTGTATCCTCAACTTTACTATATATTTTTTTCTAAAGTGATTGAGTCAACACCTTCACTTAACCTTGGGTGGTTGTGGTACCGTGTCGTTGCTTACGATATCCATAACACAAGTGCTTTAGCTACTTATTTTCGGGTCAGAACAACTTATGTGATGTTGTCTAATATTCATTTATTATTTGTAAATGATGAAAAACATCGTGATGGAACTTGCGTGTATAAACGTCTAACAAAATACAATAGCCGTTTATTTATATATTTTTTATTGTTTGTATGCTATTCCACCTCCGAAAAGATTACTCGGAGATATTGTATAGCTAACGTGGCGTCTACCTTTTTTCTTTTATAATCAACTGTATTCTTTTGGATGAGTCTGTCTACATATGAACATATATTGTCGACCCAGTTTGCGGAAGGACGAGGGTTTGGGATCTCTTTAATGAATAACAACAATAAATTTTATTTATTTTTTTACTTGATTTCTTTTTCTATTTACGTCGTCTGCTTTTCCCAAATATGAGTATAACATATTACAATAGTATTTTATGCAATCGTTGCATAATTCTTAAAGTTGAGAACCGTGTTTAGGCTACGAGATTTTTAGGACGCAGTATGGCGTTTGAGTAGCATCCTAATTGATATTTTAATTAGCAAAAACACAACGTTCTTTTTTGAAACTCATTATGGTTCTGTGTACAGAACTTTATTGAAATTTTTCAGCTTAGTGGCGAGTACCATAGACAATAGAATTTCGATTTAGAAGTAAAAAGAGCGCCTCTACGATATGGTTTAAGAAATTAAAATTGACAGATTTAAGTACAGGAGTAGAAAAAAATTATTAATTTAGTACTATTTTACTATTACTATTACTATTGGTACTATTTTCAAACTGAATTCTAATTATTACTCTTATTACCTATTTTATAAATTTCAATATTTGCTTTACTATCTTATGTACATATTCATTGTTTACCTTTTGTTTACCTTATTCTGCTCTTAGATTTAGGTAAATATCGCAGCTTTGATGTAATAAGGCCATATCTATGAAATAACAACTTTCAGGAGAGAGGTGTAAACAATTTACGATAGCAATCGAATCGAGCTAGAACGACAGTCGTCTGACGATAAATAAAACGTCACGATAAAAATGTCGCAATAATCGCAGCTTCGAACTATTCTGTCGTGCAAACGACAAGGTGGATGCCGTGAACCGATAAATTGTCGTCGCGATCTAGTGGGAACAGCTAGACACGACAGTCGTTCAACGATAAAATAAACGTCCACGACACTGTCACGACTGATAGTCGTGATATGGGAACAGGCTAAATGTGATTTGGGAACAGGCTAGACGGAACAGTCGTCTAACGATAAATAAAACGTTACGACATAATGGGAACGCGCCCTTAGCGACAAACGTCTACAGCAGTTGCAGTGCCACTTAGAGCTTTAAATCGCAAAGATATCGGAGTGACATTGCCACTGCGTCTATCTGCCCTGGACTAACTCTTTCACAAGGAGTTCTTGTGCTTCTAAATATCATGTGATAAAAACACTTTTCATTGTACCAGGGGTACGATATTGTAGCGGGTTGTATCAATGGGATTTGGGTGCTAGTGAAGAGTTCATTAAAACCAACAAAGTAAAGTAAAGTTACACAGATAAAACAATGACAACAACAAACAAAATGGCGCCAAAACCAACTACATTTAAATTTAGAATGTCAATCTAATACTAAATTACTAAAAAGACCTTATAGAATATGTATAAAAAGATTTGTATATATTCTGCCTATTTCGATCTCATAACAAATGATCATAACAAATCTGGAAGAAAGCTTGACGTTCTTAACGTACTTTCGTTCCCGAAGGGTTCTTCCCTTCGCTACGGGGATGATATGCTTGGATGACGGTAATTACTTACCCGGTGACTAATTGATCAATCGTGAATCGACAAGACGGATCACTTTTTCAGAGATTCCTTCATCTCTTTATTGGCATATATAAAAGGTGTTTACGTAGTACGTTTTATATTGAAATGTAAACATTTCTTAAAAAATGCTTACAGATTTACAATTTTTTGACGATCAACACGTGTCAATCTCCAAATAATAAGACATCGATCGCCTGTTTCGTACACATTTACTCGAGTTTGACTCGTCACACATCTTGATCGACAATAACTGTAACTTTTTTTATAAAAAAAACCTCGAAACTTCGTGGAACTGTTCTACTTGCTAAGTTTTATTGAAATCGGTTATCGGAAAGTGCGCGAAACCGGATTCATTCCTTAGTTTGTCA